TGCTTCTATGAGGCTATCAAAATTTCTAAACTTAAAATAAATAAAGCTACTATGACAAATGAACGTATTTGTTATTCTGCACAGTATTAATTAGCATCTTTAGTTAATATTTGTTCAGTATTCTGCATACATAGAGCTGTAAGTGTTATTAATATGATATATCTATACTTGCAGACCAGAATGTAGCACAAATCAGGGGACAAACAGAGACTACCCATCCTAAGAGAAATGAGGGAACTGTTACCACTCTCACAGGAATACAGGAAGTGTAAGAAGTGCCTTCCCATTGATTAATGACCCACAACTCTACTAATATTTTCCAGTCCTAGCAATGTACATTCTAATTATCTATTGTACATGAATATAAAAAGTCATGTCCCATATATGTGAAACAGGAAAAACATTAAATTTAATCTACTTTTCTAAATCTACCAAATCTATTCTGATCTGAGTTTATACACTAATACAGAACAAAACCCGTCCATTACTGGGACTTGTACTAAAATAATACATCTCAAAAACCAAAGAAACCATATTTGGAATAAGTTTTGAAACGTTTGGAAAAAGGAAGACCACAGACACACACACTTGTATGTATATACACACACAGAAGGATGCATACACTTTAAGGCAGATACATTGTTATGTTCAAAGAATAGTCCACAATGGCCCAGTGCCTAACTGGAAGGTGGTATTGAGTGGGGTACCCAAACATCTGTCCTGGATCTGGTCCTATTCAATATTTTCATTTTCTAATTTGGAAGATGGGATTGAGTGTATACTTGGCATATTTGAAAATAACACCAGTAGGAGCGGAGTTTCATATCCTTGGAGGAGGCATGTCAAACTTTTATGCACCTTGGGATGGATCTGGCCCCCCCATGCTTCTGGCCGTGGTTGCTTGTCAGGGCCCCTAGGGTATGAAACCCAATCCATGGTGTCTACAGGAAGATGACCAGGCTGTGGCACCACCAGAAGACTATCATGTATCTGCTCCAGCTCAGCCTGTGCCTGCCCGTAAGGTTTCTAATATGAGAACAGGTGACCTGAGAGGACCAATGGAACCATAAGGCCCTGATGGGAAGGCACTAAAATGACTTCCCACTGACTCCAACTGACTTCAGGGCCTTGTTTCTGCAACAGTACTCTTAGTACTCCTGCTATGAGCTTCCTTGTCTGGTTCCTGTATTCCTGCTTCTGTCTTGAGCCTTTTGGCTTGGATCCCTGCTACTGTTTTGATGCTGACTCTGCAGTTGAATGCTTGGCTTGTGTCCCTGGCTCTGAACTGTTCCTTGTTCCCGTCTCACCTCTGCCTTGGATCCTTATGCCCTGCTTCCAGCTTCCCCACTTCCTTAGACCCCAGTGCCTTGCTCCTGCTTACCTTCTCTTGCATATTGGATTCCCTGGCTTCTGACCTCTGGCTATGCCTTGACCTTGGGCCCGCTTCAACCCCTGGCTTAATATATTAGACTCAGTCTGACAGCCAGTATTGTGACCCTTATCAGTGGCGTCTGCTTCTGAATCTTGATCTCCGCCACCCCCATACATGTCTAGATCATACCTATGACACTGCCAGCAGCAAAGAAGTTAACACTACTGCTGCTTAACTCCTGCCAGCAGCCAAGGAGTTAGTGCCACTGCTCAATCCCCCACCAGCAGTCAAGAGGTTAACACCATGGTTGCTCAACTCCTGTTACTGCAGCTGCTGGAGCTAATGTGGCAGCTCTGCCAGATTCTGGGGGCAAATACCACTGCCAAATAGTGTTTTTGATGGTCGCTGGTGGCTAAAATATTCAGCATTTGATAATGGGGTTTGGGTGGTGGTATTAACTCTGTGGCTGGTGCTTATACCAGCACAGTAGCTCTGGTGGATGTAGCGATGGAATTTGAGCAGCTGTGAGGTTAATATCTTTACTGCTGCTGCTGACCCAGTGGCTTTGGGAGCTGCGGTGAGAAGCTCCACAGGATCTGGATTTGGGAGGTCTGGCCTATGAGAAGCCTTGTGGTATGGGTGCAGCCCAGTACATTTCTGCACTTCAGGATGAAACAAGCAACATGCACAAATGCAGACTGGAGAAGGACTAGTTATGCTGCAGAACTGCAGAAGCCGTCTGAAGGGTTTTAGTAGACCAAAAGTTGCATATGAGCCACAAGTGTACTCTTGTCACCCCCCACCAAAAAAATCCAACAGAATACTGGCCAGTACTAACAGGACTGTAACTTGCAATTCAAGGGAAGTGGTTCTTCTACTCTGTTAAAAACTGGACACAATAGTGTTGGGCACTGGGCTACAAGGAAGCTTTGCAAAAATTGGAAAGAATTTAGTGGAGAGCAATAAAAATTATTTAAAGGCCTAGGGTAATCTGATTTATGAGAAAAGTTTAGAGGAACTGAGTTTATTAGGAAATGTGACTTGCAAGAAAAGGTTAGAGGAACTAGGTTTGCATTGTCTGGAAAAGAGAAGCCTGAGAGGGGATTTGATAACAATCCTCAAATATCTGAGGGTGGTATAAGGAGGAGCTTGGTCCCTTATGGATTTAGAACAGCGCTGCAAGTTGTCAGCAACAAAGAGTGCCTATAGATGTGTCCAGAGGCTGCTCTGACGTGCTGTAATTAGTGTCAGAGCAACAGTCTTGATTTAACAGAGTCTGCTGGAGCATGCAAGCTAAAGTGCTCCTGCTGCCATTTTGAAGCACCAGGACGCTAATACACGAAATGCTGCAGGTGCTATAATTAAAGGCACTCTCAGAGCTGCTGTAATTTAAAAGCCCCCACCCACCTTTGGAGCACGTGTAAAAATGTCCTAATAGTCTGCCTGGCTGGGAGCCAGCTGAAACTGATACCGGCTAATGAGAGAGGAGCCACAAAGAGTGTTAACTCCAGGAGAGGAGTGCAGAGGGGAGAGGGCAGGTTATGGTGCTGGGGGAGAGGCACAGAGCAAGAGTTGCCTCTCTCTCAATGTTTGAAACAAGACAACAGGTTTCTGGTTTGCCTGCATGATTAGATTGGTACAGACTCTGGGGTTTTCTGCCTTCCTCTGTAGTGAGGGGTGTCACCGTCTTCCTAGAATCTCTCAAATATATTTTATTATTGGGCCCTCTGCTTAGGTTAGGGTGTTATGCTTTGTGGTTGTGTCAGGGCTGATTGTCTAAACTTACTAATAGGATTTTGTATAGGATGGTTTACATAGGGATGAATCTGCTTCTTGTTGGGTGCTGGACTAGATGACCTCTGGAGGACCTTTCCAGCCCTACTTTTCTATAATTCTAAGTACAAGGCGCACAGTTGAAATGAATGCTATGTATTTTGCCTATAGCATAGCTCAATATGTAGTACACACCATGATTTTTGAAGGAGAGCCTGAATAAAGAAAAAAGGGCATTGGATGAGACTCACGGACTGACCTGGTCTGGTGGGTTTGGGGCGACACATCAGGTCTGGCACTGCACACTGGCTCTGGAAAACAGGTGCTGGGTCTGACCTAGCAGTCGAGCTTGGAGCCATTGTGTGGTACTAGATTTAGCCTGTGGCTCTGGAGCCAGCATGTGGGGTTGGACCCAGCACCCCAAGTCTGGGGTTGTATGTCGGGTTGGTCACTGTGCACAGATCTGCCTGAGGACCAACCCCTTGTGCTGGCCCACTCTGGTGCGTGGATGGAGAGGGAGCTCTCTGTGGGTCCCAGAATTTTGTGGTGTTTTGGGTGGGGAGAGCAGTGGCAGTGTTAATTGCCATGGCTCCCAGAGCTACAGCAATTAATGCTATTGCTGCTCTAGTCCCATCCCATTGCCCCCTGCTTCCCAATCATATTTGCAGACCCTTGGGAATCCTTTTTCCTCATATATAATGTACACCCCAGTTTTCCCCATCTGGTTTTTGGGGAAAAGATACAGGTTATATGTGAGATAATGCAGTATATTTTAAGTACTTAAGCTGATTTTCATGAAAGGTCCTGCTGTATATCACTAAATTAAAACTTTGAAGGATAGAAAAGTACAAAACAGATACATGGGTGCTTGAACGTGAAATAATGGAGAAAGGACAATGGTAAAATAATAATAGACAACAAAAAAAATAGAAATGCTAAACTGGCAGATGTAACCAAGTTATGTAAAATAAGATAATGAACAGCTGAATGGATAAAATCTTTACAGCAAAAAGTAATCCTCAGCTGTGGGACAGAGTAATTCCAATGTTCAGAAAAAGGACTATAGGTAGCAGAGGTGTGTTGTAGTACAGTATGGTTTTAGTCAGGCTGTAATATAATATAAGAATACTATCAGAAGCCATTTTTGGATTATAGCAAATGAACAAGGGAAGGAGTTTTAAAATCAATAGATGAAATAGTCTCTTAACTTCGGTAATAGGATCCAAGAACTCATTTTCAAACCTAACACTGATTATTATATCCTGTGATTGTCAACCCAAGAGAGAAGGTATCATTACACCAAAACATATCCTGATTTCTGATTTGTGTTAGTCAGTGGAGATTGTATGCCCCAGAACACTGAAGTTGGGGTGATTCTAGGCAGAATAGGATATAATTAAAATCCCCCAAAACTGTGGTACTGCATACTCTCTTTTTTGGATTGAATACCTGAGCCCCCCCCTCCCTGAGTTACACAGTTGACAGCCCAGAGATCACAAGTTTGAGGCCATAGTAAAACTGCTTATGATGCACGGTCCTGTTAGATTTCAGCAAATCTGCGAATTCTGCTAAATATCCAGTCACAAGGACACAACAAAGGAAGGAAGACATCCCTGAGTGTGGTATAGCAGTTGACAAGTTTGCTCTTAATAAGTATCCACTGTCTCTTTCTGAAATAGGTTATCTTTTTCTGAAAGTTTTATAGTATGTTCCTGGAAACAGATGATTAAGTCTGGAAATGACTGACTAACACCTGAGTGCAGTATATATATTTTTGTAATGTTTCCAGTACTGTGAGTGGTTTCTTGGACCTGATGTTAAACTATACCGTGCATTTTCTGTTTCTCATTATTAGCTTTCATTGTCACCTCGCTTGGACTAGGGACAGGAATTCAAAAAGCCTGAGTGGATTCAATCTTTGAAGGTTAGTCTAACCTGCCTACGCTGAACCAGTTTGCAACCATACAGACATTCCCTCTGGACTGAAATGCAGGCACATGCCTCCAGTGGCTCAGGCTAGAAGCAAAAGGGGCACTAGAGCAGCTCTGCCTTTGCTTCCACAGTGATGAGCTGAGGGGCAGGACGCTCTGATTAGGAAGAGGTGTAAACCCCCACCCTGGCCTGCATCATCTCAGGCTTTTCCCTGCTTGCTGCTCAAGGGGCTGGAGTGTTGTTAGACCCCAGCTCCAGGCTAGCACTCCGAGGCAAAGGGTGTGTGTGCAGTGCATGCATCTTTTGATGATACTGAGCTTTTCAATCTCCCTCTCTCTTCTTCTTCATACTGTCTGCAAACTCTGACAGAGGAGGGAGTCAGCAGGGAGCTGATAATACAGTGTTTATTAGCTCGTCAACAAAACAAAAACCTCTCATATTAGTTCAAGCTCTTCTTAAACAGCTTTTTCAAAGGAAGGAACATTTTACCAGCTGACCTGTAAATGCATTTCAGCCATTTTGAAACTGGTTTACGTTCATTGAACTTATGTTCTTTTACGGGTTTAAACCAGTTTCTGATCACTTAAACCAGTTTTTGTGTAATGTCTGTCCCTAGTCTTGAAGTTTAATTAGGAACAAGAATATTAAGTGATTTTAATTCTTGTTTAAATTGTTGTGGCATTAACAATATGGGAAGTAAGTAAATGAATGTTTTGAATACTGCTTTGCTTTCTTTTGTTTTCACTTCATCTTACACCGCTGTTTGTTATATATTCATGAATGCTGCATATAAATGTCTGTCTGTCTAGGCTGGGGATATATATACATAACGCAGTACACAAATTGCTGTGCTATTGTGAAATTAACCTGAAAATGGTCATACCTTACTTTAGCATTAAATTTAACTGGGCCCATGGTTTTCCAACTAGGGTATGTGTCTGTATTTTAATAATATAATTGGTGGGTCAGAACCAATCAAAAAACAGTGTTGTGCATTGGTGATGTCTGTGTTGACCTTCTTCTGAAGGAATGAACATGCAGAGATGCATTGGATGTAGGGGATATGAGCAGCAGTATTTTGTAGGGGAAGGGGCATGCAATCAAAAAAGTTTGAAAACCACTGAATTAGGCCATATATGTATGAACTAGGAGCACAGTACCTGTACAGGGATTTTGGTCTATACTTTACTGGGAAAATGCAGCTAGGGTGGACACAGTTTATATTTTCAAAATTATGCTTTCACTGGTCTCTTACCATCTTTCCCATCTCTTATCCCCTACATATTCATCCTAGCAAAATAAAGTATAATAGTAAAAGGCCAGTTTTGCTGATTAGAACTGCATCTGTATTAGGGGCTTCTGTCAGCTAGCTGTGTCTAGCAGAGATCACACATTGTTACCCTTGACAGACAGAGAACTATGTTGACAGAAGTCTTCAGTATAGATATAAACTTTAGCTATCAGAAGAGCACTTGTAGAGATTTACTAAGTATCAGCGCTATTTGTAGTTCTGCAGAAGCATTTGTGACGTTTCACTTGCTTTAAAATGGGAGAAAAACCTTTAAAATCAACTCTTGTATTTAATCTGCAAGGATATCTATTTCATAAAACTGTATAGTTAATCTGGGAGATTAAATTGTTTTAAGGGTATCTACTTCACAAAACACTTGTTAGACATGATTAATTCTTAAGTGCATATTTCCCAAAGTACCTGCTTTTTGCCAGCTTTGTCATATGTTTCTGTTTAACTTATATTTTTAGTGTAATCTTTGTAAATATGGATTGAATTATAGCTCATTGAGAAATAAGTCTTCTGACAAAGGATTTGGAGATCAAATGAATGCTAATCCTAATGAATATTATTCAAATGAATGTGGATGTCTGATTCTTTGGATCCTTTAAAGTTTTTTTTTTTTTTTAACTAAACCATCAGGCAGGACAGTGAGGGTAGAAATAGATGTTGCCTTTCATTGCTTTTGTGCTGCCTTAAAATTTTTATGGTGGCACAGAGCGAGAGCAAATTAGATGTCCTTACCTTTGACACGAAAAAAGGTAGTAATACATTGTGCTGCTTTATTGTGGCAGATGTCTATTTGCTTCATGGTGGGAGAGCACAGGCAGCTCTGAGCTGCCTGTACTCTCCTGTTGTCCCAGGCAGGTGCTCTCTGGGCTTGAGGGACCTGGTCCTGTGCACCTGTAGAATTCCTATGCAGAAGCCTGTCCAGCTTTCCCCCACTTCCAGAGATGCAGCTCTGGGTTCTCTGCTTCTAGAGGTTCACTCCAGAGATTGCCAGAGGCATGTCGCTGCAAGCAGGGAACCCCAACTTTCCCTGTTTCCAGAGAAGCATCCTGGAGATCCTGGGGAGCACATCTCTGGAAGCAGGGAAAGCCAGGACACTCCAGTGTGGTTTCAGGGCTGAGACTGACAGTCAGCTGATTGATGTCCCCAGCCCTGTGACTATATATCACACTTGAGTGTCCCATCCCAACCTTCCCCGCTTTCAGAGACTTGCCCCTGGCTATCTCTGGGAACCCTGGAGATTGCTGGGGTGGCTCTCTGGAAATGGGAACATATCGCCCATTGTCCCACAAGATCAAGGACATATCCCAGTACCGCTGATCTGTTTGATTTGGTGACATCTGTTTCTAGCTTAAATGGGAAGTCACTGATCACATAGGAATTGTGAATATGCATTTTGCTAATTGTGTGATAGTCTATGGCATTCTTTACATTGCTGAGGAATGTGTTTCGCAGTGGACTTCAATAGGAGGAGGAACAGTTTAATTCTCATCTTAACTGTCAGTCTGACATTTCTGTTTAGCTTAGCTCCTAAGCTTGTACTGCTCCCAAAGTAAATGTTTTTGTAAAATCATTCATAAAAAGATGTCATGTTATTACCTATGTGTGCATTTAGTGATTAGTGATTAAACTTTAATTTTCATGATATTTATTTGTAGTTAAACAGTTTTGTAAGAACTCCCTCTGAGACAGTAACTAATGAAATGTGAGGTTAAAGCAGAGTTTCATCTCCAGAGATCTGAGTTGATCTGTAGAGGAAATGAGGATTATAATTTTTTTTATCTCATCAAAAGGGTTGGCAGACATGTTTTCCTAAGACTGTACTGAAATGTGCTCCTTATAGTTATTCCTAATCTACTGCTTTTCTGTTGCATCATGAAAAGTATACCTAAAGATCTAATTTTAGAGAGAAACTTTGAATTTACTAAAATATTTCTTCTCCTGAAGCTGATTGCACTCTAAGACTTTCTGTGTAGCATTAGTAGGTCTGATGTATTATTCCTGACCTGAATGTCTCTTTCAGGATATTGTCAGTTGTAGCAAATTATGGTGGTTCCTGATGTACGCAAATGGAGGTTTTGAGGACACCATGAAACTAATGATTACATGTAACTTGAACAGGAATTCTAAAACACATTTTCTCAGTGTAAACAGCTCACAGTATGAGGCAGTAGTGCTCAACCTTCTGCCCTGTAGCCAGATGAGTGGCATGGGGTTGGACTGTGGCCCTGATCCATAATGGGGTTGGTGCAGGGCTGAACTGCATGCCTGATCTAGTGTGGGGGGGTCAGTCTGTGGGTGCAGTCTGGCACACCAGCCTGGCCTGTGTGCCAAGTGTGACCTCACCTGTTGAGTTGGCCCCATGTGCTGGATCTGGCCACGGCCTGACTCCGTGTTCTGTCCAACTTCATTTACCGGCACTGTCTAACCCACAGTCATGTCATCCAATTGCTCATGGACCCATGGGCTCCCCATGGGTCCAGAAATTTGACAGTGGGGGAATGATGGCAGCATTCAGTCTTGCAGCTCTGCAAGCTGTGGCAAGTAATGCTGACACCGTGCCTCTGCTACCATATTTCTGGACCCTGGGCTGAAAGTTGAGTACCACTGGTATACGGGAATGCCCACTTCCCCTAATTTAGGTTGAGAGGCCATTACTGTTTAAAAATGACTCTCTTGAATGCTCTGAAGTCCACATGCTTACCTGGATTGTCTTGAAACTTGATGTGCTTTGTACTTGAAATTCAGGAATATATGTATAGTGTTATTGATCCAAATATGGGGTGTTTGAGCAAAAGCTTTTTTAAGATAATCCCCTGAGGAAAAAACAGCATTTCATAAACTGACAGATTCTTGAGACTCTTTTGTTTGCAGAAGCATGGATCAAGATATTCCTATGACCATTGTCCGCAATGATCTTTACATGTATCCCAGCGCTTGTATCGTGCCCATTGCCCCTTTGGGAAGAAATATTGAAAACATAACAGGAGTTCAACTCTCTGAACACTTATATAGACTACAGTGCTTACTAGGAGGAACTGGGGATTTATATGAGAGTTTTAGGGACACGGTGATTTTGGGAAAAGAGATTAATGGGTAGTAAGGGAGAGGAGAAAGGTGTTTGGTCGGGGAGGTGTTGAGGATGTGAGGTGTAGAATAGGAGGTATGAAGTGAGATATTGGAAGGTGGGACATTAGGTTGTAGGTAGGGTGCATCGATAAAGATTTTCTTGGCTGATACCAATACTTGATGATTAACCAACCATATCAACTGATGCCAAACTTTTAACTGATATTTAGTAATAGTGCAAGGCATTTTAAACTATTGACATAAAAAAACAATTTTTTTGTTTTATTTTATCACACCTCCCCCCCTATTCCCATGCACGCTACCCCCTTCCTCACCATGTTGCCCTACTTCCTGTGAAGCCCGTATTACCATCCCGGGTAAGTGGGGCAGACCTTTGTGCGGACAGTGGTGCTGGGCACATTTGGAGCCCCAGAGCATGCCACTGCGTCAGCACCAGTGGGTCCCATGCAGCCATGTTCCTGTGGCTGTTGGGGAGGAGCCACTTTTGCAAAGATGCCCAGTGCCTGGTGGAGTGGAACGTCTCTTGTGTGGCACTTTACCCCACCTGCGTGCAGCCCAGTGTCTCTGCAGCAGCTCTGGTGCTCAGGCCCCTGCTGCATGCA